TTTTCTTTTTCTTTTTTTTCATTTTCTCTCCTCGCGTTCCCTTTTTTTTTATTACCTCCTTTTTTTTCATATATATATTTGTGTGCGTTTGTTTGTTTCTCTTAAGTCTCTGTGGGCAGTGCGGCTGTGGCGTGCGCGATGGGCGGGTTTTCGCCGGAGTCTCGGTCCGGGCGCACTTTTCCACCCCCCACCCACCCCCCTGCGCGGACGGCGCGCACAGCCGGCGCCGCGTTCAGGCGCGGCAGGAAGACGCGGAAGAAGAAAAAGAAACAAACGAAACGAAACGAAACGAAAACAACGACAACAACAACCGGGGTGCGGGGAATGGGCAGAAAGGGGAGAAACAAACTCCAAGCGCACAAAATAGATGTGTACGTGCGCAGGAGCACGGCAGGACACGTCGGTGCACGGAGAAGAGGAAAAGGGGAGTGGCCGAAAGCAGAAGAGCAGGAAGAAGAAGAAAAAAATCACGCAAAACGGCAAACCCAAAAAAATGGGACACACACACAGAAACAAATATATATATATGTATGCGGCGAGAGAGAGGGAGCGAGCGAGAATGCAGAAGAAATTGCAGACAACATAGAGAAAGGGGAGTGTGCCCCTCTGCCAGTCTCCGCGCGCGTCACTCCTCGCCTCGCATGTCGTCCGCCGGTTCACCCGCGCCACTGTCACAGAGGACGTCTGGGTCCGGCCGCCTGCTCGTTTGCCGCCGCCCCCCGCCGCTCATCGCGGCTGAGACTCCCTTCACCCTCCCCCAGCGACCCTTCCTTTTCTTCCTCCTGCCTGCCTGCCTGCCTGCAGCCCAGAAACCATCTCCTTGCTGCTTGATGCTACCTCCACGCCGTATTTTCTTGCGCACCTTCTCGGAGGCCGAGCGGTGCCCACACACACACGCACCTCCCTTTCATTCTGCGCCTTTGCCGGTGGGTGGTGGGACGCACCGCAAGGCCCAAAACACGCAAAAGCAGGCACCCTGCAGCTGTGGCGCGTTATCCGCCTCATCTCACAACGTCGCCCTTCACGCACTCCAGGGATTCCCCCGCCTCTCCTTCTGTGTGCCTGCGACGACGGCGCCGGTGGAGGGGGTGGGGGAAGGGAAGGGAGGGGATCCTCTGCTCTTCCTCCTCTTCTCTACTCAGCCCCCCGCCACACTCACACACACGCTCCTCCGCGTTACTGCGGCTGCAGTTGCCACGTCCCTTGTCTGCTTTCCCCCTGCTCTTTGCCGTTACTGTTATTGGACGGAACGGGGAGCAAGTCCCCGGCCGTCTTTGTTTTCTTTTTTGTTGTCTTTTTTTTCTTCTTGTAACTTCTTCTTTTCCCCCCGTTTTCGTTTCTCGTTCTGTGTGTGTCTCTCTCTCTCTCTTTTCGTTTCTTTCTATTTTTTTTCCTTATTTTGTTTTGTATTTCCGTTTCTCCTCCCCCCGCCCTGCAGTCATTTTCTTCACAGCCGCATTCCGCTTCTTTTTTCCTTCTTTCTTTTCTTGGTTTGGGTTTTTTTTTGTGTGCCTCTTTTTTCACCCCACACTTTTTTTTTGTCTTGATTTTGTTGTTTTTGTTGTGGCGCGCGTGAGGCGAGGCGGAGCGTAACTTCTGCCGCTGCGCCTCGCCCAACGCCGCCCTCATATCCTCCTCCTTCTTCTTCTTTACCATGCCGCTGCCGGCCCTCCCGCCCGCACACACGCACGCGCACACACACGCAGCCGCACGTACAGCCAAACAAACAAATCAGACTCCTGCCGCAGGCACCCACAGACACACACACACACACACATATATATATATATATATACACCTGTATCCGTGCGTAGATGTCTCAGTATTAACCTAGCACCAATAATACTATTAGTGCCCCAAGGCGCGGGCGCCTGCGCCTTTACATGGCGTACTGACGGGTCCAATCCATCGCCGTCTTGTTAAACGCGCCGCGGTCCGACTTGTACTGCCGGGCAATGTCGGGGACGAGCGGGTCGTCGGGGTTCGGGTCAGTCAGCAGCGAGCAGACGGAGAGCAGCACCTTCGAGATGGTCAGGGCGGGCGACCACTGGTCCTTCAGAATGTCCAGGCAGATGCCGCCGTTGTTGTTTATGTTCGGGTGGTAAATCTTCGTCGTGAACTGCAGCTTCGGCGGCTTGAACGGGTAGTCGGAGGGGAAGTGAATGTTGAGAAAGAAGAGGCCACCGGCGTACGGCGAGTCCTCCGGCCCTATGATGGTCGCCTTCCAGTTGAACAGGTCATTCTCGCTGATGGGGCCGCCGCTGGTGTTCGCCGGCGGGTCCCGCTCGAGGTCCTTCAGCTCCTTTTGGATGCGTCGAAGCGCCATGGGGGGGGGTTGTTGCTTGCTTCGCCTTGATTTGCTTTCCTTGCCGGCCCGCACGCACGCAGAGAGCGAAAACGGGAGAGAGAGAGAGAGAGAGGCGGGGCGTGGCGGGGAGCAACGATGCGTGGCGGCTGCGTCGCACGGCGGAGACAAAGCGAGAGAAGCAGCGGCGGCAACAGAAAATTCAAAAAAAAAAGAGGAAAAGAGACCAAAAAAAAAAAACTACTCACACTTAGATGAGGTGCGGCATCTCCAGTCATCCCCCGACGCCCGCCCCCTCCGCCTCCAAACACGGCGCTCAGGGGTTGTTGTCGCTTCGGGTTGGCTGCTTTGCTCCCCCCACCCCGCCCCTCGTTTGCGGGGGAAGAAGAAGCGAAAGCGGCATCACACACAGAGCGACAGTTACAGACACATTGATATACACACAAGTAAAGATTTATATACACATGTAAAGATATATATATATATACTGCACATTACAGACTGCACGTGAGTCAAGTAGAGAACGGGGGGAAGGCGGGCGCCACGCACCGCAGACACGCATGGCGGCAGAGGCGGACACGCCGATCGCGAGCGAAAATGGGAGGGGAAGAGGGGGAGAGAGAAGAGCGAGAGAGGGAAAGAGAAAGGTGCGCCAGGCATGAATCTGAACTTCATCCGTGGTCAAATGCATACCGAAGTTTGTGTTTTTTTTTCTTCTTCTTTAGGAGAAAACCGTTACCCGTTCTGCGCGTGCGTCGCCGCGCGCGGTAGAGGCAGCAAAATAAAAAAAATAACAATAAAAATATTGGCAATAAAACAATAAAATAATAAAATAATTAAACAAGCAAACAAAACGCTACCGATAAACACGTTAACGACAGAGTAAAAAGAAAAAGAAAACAAACACCAACGCAGGTGACACGCAGAAGCACGCACGGATATTTGTCTGCGAGTGTCCGCGTTGCTACGTGGTGTATACTCGCGGGACACGGATAGAAATCCCGCAGAAAAGCTGGTTCGGAATCGACCCCACAGACGCCGCCTTTTCCCCAACGTCCTCGCCCCAGACACGGATGCGGGCCTCGTCCTTCACCGCGGCCATGATGGCGCCAATGTCTTTGCCGACCTCCTCCGGGTAAACCACGACGGCGGTCATGTCCATGTTGACGCTGCCGTGCACGGTGCCTGCGATGGGGTCGGCGGCGCCGTCGGGCGTCACGGTGACGGCCATCCCCTTGTACTCGCGAATGAAGCCGTCGGCGTAACCGAGCGGCAGCATCACGACGACGGCGTCCGCCGAGGTGGGTTCCAAGCCGTAGCCCACGCCCTCGCCCCTCCGCACCGGGAAGTGGTGCAGAACTTTGGTGTAGAGGCAACTCGCGGGCTTCCCGGCCCACAGCCTCTGGTCGGTGACGCTGCGCGGGCCGTACAGCATGAGCCCCGGGCGCACGTACGTCTCCTCCAGCCCAATCCGCTGCTCCACGGCGCCTGAGTTACTCACCGACGTGGCCCGCACCTCCACCCCGCCGTCGCGCAGGAACTGCACTGCCCTCTTGAATGTATCATAGTGGGCCTGCGTCTCGGCACGCCGCGCCGCCGCCGCCGCCACGCTGAAGTGCTGCAGCAGGTGGTCCACCCCGCCCCGCTGCCGCAGCAGGGGCAGCACCTCCGCCAGCTCGTCCGGGCGCAGCCCCAGGCGGTTCATGCCGGTGTTCAGCTTCAGGCACAGCTTTGTGCCGTCGAACGCAGCGGAGGCGCAGAACGCCTTTAGTTGTGAGACGGTGGCCAAAACAGGCGTGAGCCGCGCCGCCGGCTGGTCGCCCTGCTCGTAGTAGCTCTGGCAGCCCTCGTTCATCACCTCGGTGTCGGAGAAGACGAAGATCTCGCTGCGGGGGTCTGTCGCTATGCACGGCTGAGTCGCGCGCAGCAGCAGCGCCTCGCCCAGCGAGGCCACGCCGAAGTTGCGTACCCCACACGCGTCGTGGAGGTACCGGGAGACAGTCTCCATGCCGTGCCCGTAGGCGTTGCCCTTCACCATCGCGATCACTTCCGCCGCGCCAGCGAGGCGCCGCACGCATTCGACATTATCGGCGATGTTCCGCAGACTGACCTCGAGGTACGTTGAGTGACGCATGACGATTGCCAGGAAGGGACAACAAACAGGCAAAAAAAAAAGAAGAAAACGGCAAATAAATATGAACTGTGGTGTGTAAAATATAAAATAAAAAGTAATAAGCACGAGAAAGAAAATAAGCTGACGGCGCGGCCGCAAAAAACTCACACGCACAGTCGTAGACGCAGCGCTTCCCGCCGGTGCAGTCCAGAAACCCTTCTTGAACGGTCTGTCTGGTGCGTCGCCCTCTATTCTTGCGTGAGTGAGTGAAAGAGAGAGAGAGCAGAAAAAGAAAAAAAAGGAGCTTTGCAGTTATTCCCATCGTTGTTGTTGATGGCTTGTTTTTTTTTTAGCCAATCGCACATGA